CCGTTTGGCTGCTCATGTTCTCAGCTGACTGGATATCCACTCATTTGCTTAATATTTCAATAATAAAATCAGTAAGGCACAGCCAAGTGCCACAACAAAAGGCTCTCCGTTTCATCCTTAGGGAAGGAGTTGTTACCCCTCCCCTAACCTCACTTCTGCCTCCAGATGCCAAGTCCAGCTCTGAGCAGGTTCTCCTCATCCCTTATCTGGTCTGCTTTTTTATCAGGCCAGCATAGTCTGGAAAAAAGGGGAACACAGGGACATTTTGCTTTAAGTCCATTTCAGTAGCTTCACTTCTCCACTTTCAGCTTGCCATCCCTCTCAGGAATTTCTTACTTTGCTCCTGATTAAAAGCCCCAACACTACCTACCCACCACCACTGAGTGCACTCTGTCACATACACAGTTGTCATAATCAGAAGGAGTATCAAAACCTAGGCTCTATTCTTTTGGGAAAAAAAATAATAAAAATAGAGTGAGAAAAAGGCATTTCTTTTATCACAGTTACAACTAACTCTACTGAGGTCTATGATAATGTTTATCCCTGGGCAGCTGGCATTTTTTAATTGAATTTTTAAATGTGGCCAGACTGTGTTGCTTTTGTCTTTCAGTCTTCAGGTAGTAAAGACAAGGTCAGCAAAGTTTCTGATTAATGTGGTCTTTAGCTCTGCTGAGAACAAAAACACAGCTTAGACTCAGTTGGCGTCAGAAAATTTCTTCGTGGCCTTTTCACTCCACGTTGATTTCACACAATTAAAAAGGAGGAAAAAAAGTTTGGGTTTCACAAGATGCAAGAGAGAAAAAAAGGAAGAAACAGATAAAGGAAGCTGAACCCAAAGCAATGCCTGGTACCCTCTGAAAGCCAAGAAACTGTAAATTAGAGATGCCTTGGAACAAGGTGCTACCTACCATCCATCCCAGGCGGTACTCGCTGGCACACAGTTGTGGGCAGTGCTGGCAGAGCTGCTGGCACATCACCCACTCAGGGTGAGGGAGCTATCATCATAGCCCTGTCACTGAACATTCAAAAGGACATGTAAATTCCCCGCTCCACACAAAGGTCACTCCTGGGGTACATGCAGCTCTCCTCCCTCTGATTGCCACCAGCCCCAGTGAGGGCTGAGCCCTGTGGTGAGTCTCCAATACCTACCAAGAGTGAACTGGGACTTGCATTTCATGAATTCAGGACACAGTCCACCAAAAATAATGGAGCAGGACACAGTTGATACCAGGTGTTAGGAATTGGATCTCTGTCATTTAAGCACCTTTTCCTCTGACAACAGTTAACTGCAGAACAAATAGAAGCTTTACCTCGAGGTGAATTCGGTTGCAAGTGAAACCCTGTGGTAACAAAGTTTGCCGCTTTCCTGTGGCTTCAAACTGGCTGAAAGCTAGTTAGTAACCCAGCTTCTGGCTCTGGTTTACTGAGCCTACCAATTAATTTTAGGGGACGTGGACAAATTAGCACTACATGTTACAAGTTAGCAGGGGACTGGCACTTTTTTCTAGGTTGGTAATCCTTCCCTGATATTTCTTACCATGACCAAAATGGGCTGGAGGATACCAACTAATAGTAACTGCACCTGAGAGTACTTGTTAGAGATGTGCTTGTGTTATTAAAATTTGCATATGCATCTCAGAAATCACAGTTGGGCCTGCACAAGTCCCGAGAAAGAAACTGCAAGAGTTTGGAAGGGTACCTTTCTCTTCTAGGGTGATCAGGATAGTGGTGTAGTTGTACAAGCCTGAGATACTGTGGGTTTGTGGTGGGAGTTCAGGATTTACCAGCTGCCTGTTGTTGTTTGTCAAGATGTCCAGCAAGATTTCTCTGCTGTTTGTAAGCAATTTAATGCCTTGACTAATTTTAATCTGCAGTGTACTGTTTGTCCACATCTGTTGTATTGCAGTGTTCATTAGTATTTAAAGCAGGAACAGCTGGTATTGATCATGCCTGTTAAAATTAAACAATCATACATTAGTGACTGATTAGAAATCCTTTTGCTGCACCAGCACTGCTGGTTAAAGCAACAGTCAGTGAACTTGTAAAAAAAAAAGTCAGCAATATCTAGTTTTCCATCTTGTTTTTGTCACTCTTAATGTGGCTACTCCCTATCTTGGTGCTAATTCATTATAAATAAAAATGTGCTTACATTTTCACCCCCCAGTACTTTATGAAGCTGAGCCATTTTTGTTCATGTTTTACCAACATGCACCTAGAAGACCATGCACAACAATGTCAAAAAAACCTGACTGTCTTGGGCAACTACACTGCAGCAAATTCTCTTTGGAAAGGAGCCATGCTATGTTTACTTAGAGTTTTCTTAGAAGTCCGTTAAAGCCAATCATATTTAAGTACCAGTATATCTAGATTTGCACACTAGGAGCTGGACACACTGCCCTCCATCCACACACATATCCTTGGCAGTACTACAACTGCTACATCCTCCCTCCATGGTTGACTCTGCAAGTGGCACAAAATATCACTGCTGTAGAACTGCCCCTTGCTTTTCTGGCTTTCCTTTCTCTTGGTCTTCATTTCTACGTGCATGAATGTTGATGTTTTCTTAATCCCCAAAAGGTACATGCATTTTCCTTTTCCAGGGTGTAAAAGGCTCTGAATTATAAGAAGCCAGCTCTGAGATGGCTGCTGGAATGGATGATGAAAAACAGCAGAGAGCTCATGAAGGCAAATTCAGAACTGGACGTCCAAAGTGAGTATTTGCATCCAATGGAGAGAATGTTTACAAAGTCAGATACAAACCTTCCTTCCTCCCTCCTTCCTTTCTTTTTCCCTTTTTTTTTTTTGTCGTTCCCATATACCTAAGGATGTCTTAAAAAAAAAAAGAAAAACAGGAGGATGATGGAGAGCACACACTTACCACTGAGGTCAGCAATCATTCTTCTTTAGCTTGGCAAGATGTCCCAGAGCTGGGTCTGACCCTGGTGGATATTGTCTTCCTAAGTACACAAGTTTCCCCAGCAGCACTGGTGTAGCTGTCACTACCATCAGAAGGACTGGCTGTAAGAGGTGAGTGTCCTGGGAACCTGCTCCATAGAGGGACTGACAGCCAGACCAGCAGCCTTTTGTGGCTTCCCTGTGTACAGGGAAGGGGTCAAGTGACTGCACTCTCAGGGCACTTGTTCCCTGTGTCTTGCAGGTCAGAGACGTGCTGTGAACCAGCTGCCAATTCAAGTGCCTGTGAAACCCTGCTCCTAAGTGTAGTGGGCAGCACGTGAATTGGAGACTCCCTGGAGCAAAAATGTTGCCCAGCCCTGCAAACACAGGCCACTTTTGTTCACATACAGCCAGGGCACAAGGGGGCTGCCCACATGCAGCTTGCTCGAGAGCCAAAGGTCTTTCTGAAAGGGGGAGAGCTGCTCGGAGGGCTTTTACAGCAGCTCATCTGCCTGAGTTGGAGGAGCAAATTCAGAGAAGGATGATTCTCACAGAGGTGACAGCCCACTGAACTGTTCGAGGAGGCCCCAAAATCGTAAACAACTCCAGGCTGTTCCTCACTCTAACCCCTTGTGACATGAGCAGACCATCAATCCATCTCAGGGCAGTGGAGCTGCAGAGGTTGCTTTTTATGGCCTGGGCAGGAATTTCCCCCAGCTCAGTGTTTGATTTGGGCAGCACTGTAATCTCTTTCTCTTCCAACATTTCTAGTTGTTGCTTTGGCCTCATATTGATTTTGACAGACATACATACCAAAAATATAATGCCTGCACTGTGCTTGTCAGGAAGATAAATAGAATAATGATGAGAGAGGGGAGATGAGGTGGCCATCTGACCCCTTTTTGCTGGGGAACGCTGCTGCCAGGGTTTCAGCCTGTCCAACTGCTGCCATGGCTCACTGTACCTCTGTGCTGGGGGAAATCTGGTCATACTGCCTGGGTGGGATGGGATGACTGTGGGACCTGCTCATCCTGTGCTGATGTTGCTGAGACCTGCCTTCAGCAGGGGGAATGACAGCAGCCCCTCTGTCTCCCCATCTACACCCAGATCTCAGTAATACCACGCCAGTGGACAAAACACTGCCATGCTCCCAGGAATGGTGGGTCTCAGGGCTGGGTTTCACAGGCAGTGTTGCTGCTGGTTGGCTTATTTCCATGAAATGCTAGAGAAAGTAAATCCAGTTCCTGTTCAGCTGGGAGGGTAGAGTGCCCGCTTGTGCCTCCCCCCAGTGCTGCCATGGCTGAGTTAATTCCCCATGAGAATCTGCTTTCTTGCTGGCTCCGGTGTGAAATGTGGATAGGTGTTCTTGGACATTGTTTACTTTTTAAAGAAAACAGTATTTGCTACTGCAGCTTTGCTCTATCTTACCTGCTTCCGCTGATTATTTTCTAGCAGTTGGCCTTGTCTGACAGCATACTGACCACAATCTGCCAACTTGCTGAGCTGATTTAAGGAGCAGAGGTTGCTTAAACCCTCTGTCCTTCCTCACTCAGAGCAGAAGCTCCCAGGCAGGGCACCCCACACCTCTGTCCTCCTCTCTAGCTCAGCTCATGCTGCTGAGGATCAAACTCCATGTATTTTAAGACTTTCTGAAACTTGCAAATTTACTGCCAAGAACACTAGAGTGTGCATCAACTATACACAATTAATTTTTTTGATTGTGCTATAGAATGCACTTTGACATAACAATAATAATTATTACTTTAGCCTGGGAAAGATGGGCAGTGGCTTATGTAACTGTGGAAAAACCCCAAACTAAGAGACCCCCTGACATCTAATGTCACTAAAATGGAACCAAATAGCTCTGCTACCTCTGAAAATTACATCTGACAGAATTATTTTCTGTACATGTGTCCACCATAGAAGAGTTTTTACATAATATTCTTATCTAATGAATTGCCAAAGTGTAGTAGTTCAAGCCAGTTTGTTGCAAAAAGTTAGAGGTTAGAGAGGAGAAGTCTATTAAAGCAATAACACTATTAAGGGTCTGCCAAGATCACACTTGAGTACATGTAAATACAGGGCCTTTGAGATTAATGTCTCAGAGGACAGAGGAATAGTGCTGGGAGGCAGTGACGGCTTGGGAAAAATGAGAGCTGGGGCTAAAGGGCACAGCCTTTCCCTGCAGCTCCCACTCCAGCACCACTGTGCTCCCCCCAGCCCACAGCAGCCCCCAGCAGCTGCAGCCCACTGCTCCCACCCCTGCCACCCCCTGCCCATGGGTCGGAGCCTCCTCCAGGAAACTTCATGAGGTGGTTTGGCAGGTGCTGATGGGTGGCAGACGTGAACACTGAGCTATGTGGAATGAAGTGGCTTCATATACTGGGGCGCAACACGTGCATTTGTTTTTCTGCCTTGGTAAGCAAGGTGAGGGCTTCCTGCAGCAGAGAGGGCATTTCCCTCATGCTGCGAAAAAACCCAAGGGCCTGAAAATTGAGTTGTGCCCTGGGAGCAGGGCACTGGCAGGCAGTAGCAAGCCCTGACGGAGGCTTTTTACCTGCCCCTCCCACTTCGTTCCTCCTGAGAGAGCTGCCAGGAGAGAGATCCCTGGGGAGAAGGTCATGCCACCACCTGTACCCCCACTCCCACCCTCTCCCAGCAACCACATTTTGTTGAGGGTTGGTGGAGGCAATGCAAATCAACTTTTCCAAAGTGGCAGTGGCAAAGCTTGTATAACAGGGAAAAAAAACAGGCTGCAGTAAGTATTTCTGATTATTTTCTGATAGCCTCCTGTTTCCCACAGGTATACATTTGTAGAATATTTTGTAAGTGATTTCTTTATGATGTGACTAAATGTAATTTGTGTTTTCAAAGGGAATTACAAATCAAAAACAATGAAAGGGCTGGAATCTTGAGCTTTTAAAAGTAGCTACTGCATATCAACAACAGCTACTTTTGATCAATATCTTTTGCTATGCACTTTGTGGAATGGCTACAGGATACACAAATGAGCATTGTAATTAAACTCCCATAATGTGCATCATAATGCTCTGGGCTCCAAATGATCTGCTCTGACTTACACTTGGAAGAATCATTAAGGTTTCTATCAAAACTGAGCACATTTTATCCATTCCCTTAGTGCACTGATGAATATAGTATCAATCGCACTTTTTCTCTCACTGAACTGTATTATTCCTTTAGTTTTCCTTCCCTTACTTTCTTCATTTTTGTGGTCTCACCAGTGTCAAAGAAACACAGTATTGAATAGGATCAGATGTGACCACCTTCAATTCAACATGCAGGATGCATTTGCACCCAGCCTTTACTAATAAGGAAATTACAGAAAAGCACAAGGAGATAAAAAATTGACAAAAGAAAAAAAGAAAATCTATTTCTCCTTGGAGAGACAAAAAAGGAAAAATATACTAATTGCATTGGGTAGGTATTTTGTGGAGCTGGTGCAGTTGGTCTTACAATAAACTGATTTGTTTACTATATAAACTGATCATACACTATAAATATTTAAATTTATATTTATTTTACAAAATCTGATTCTACCTATCAGAGCACAGTGCCAAGTATTTACCTTAAAAAGGTACTTCATAAAAATTCACATCCAGCAGACATGTAGAGGTCTAACTATAATTAAATCTCCAAAAGTGGCCATCCTCCTGCTTCTGTATAAGAACAAGTGTGTCCTTTCTGGGTTGCAATCAATAGCAGGTTACCTGATTATACACCTTATTATGTCATGTATAGTAGTGTGAGCCACTGGAGGGTGACATGTGAACAAATAGATTTGCTTGATCAGATCTTTTCAAGAAACACACCTTACAGGAGAGAGAAAAACAATCAGTGTGTGTTATAGGTTACCGATTTACAATTTACATCATAAATCAATGTCTGATTATTTTAATGCAAAATGTTTTTAGCTTCATTTTATTGCACTAATGGTTTCAATAACACACTATAATTTGCTCAGATAGAGCAATTGAAGAGGTGATTGGACAGCTCTTACAGAAATTTTTAATTACTGTCATTAGTGGCTGCAATCTTATTCTTTTCTATGGAGCTAAGATACAGGTTATTGCATTGTGCCACGAGTGCTCTGTGGCCATGAGAATCCAAACTCTCCCTTTCTTCTGAAATGCTTGCTTCTATAAATATGTGTCTGCACAGGTCTCATCACAATAATTACTAGCATCACACAAACATTAACTAATGTACCCACATGCTCTTTTAGGCAGGTGTGGTGGTACATCCCCATCCTTGGGCTGTGCTATGACCTCAGAAATACTCATTAGGCCTCGACCTTGACAAACAGCACCTGGGCTCAGCTTTGATTGAGCTTATCAGAAACACTGTCTGCTCCTAGGGACTTATGCTGCCTAGTGAGCTCCTAGTTTTTAAAGAACAGTCTTGAAAAGTGACTTTTCTTGCCTGAAAAACAACCCAACTGGAATGATATTTTTATCAGACTTTCAAAGAAAAGTACTGACCCAAAGTGAGGCCAGAATGAAAAATTACTATGACTAAAGCCAACTGTCTTGCAAGCCTATAAACAGCAGTCCTAAGTGAGATCCTTTGAGCTCTCCTGGACCACAGCAGGCTATGACCAGCATCTCCCTCTGAGTGAGATGCCTCTCAGAGCCAGAGAACTCTCAAGTTTGCTGTACTTGGAGGACCCACAACCGAACACTAACAATGGAGCCTGGGCTGATACCCCCACTCCTCGAGGCTCAACCTATTGAGAAGATGCAAAGGCATCTGACGTGAGTACTTCACTAAATTCAAGAGGAATTTTTCAAGTGTATGTACAAATCTTGTACATACTCGTTTAAGTCTGCGTGTGTGTGAGTGTGAATATGCCATAGAAAATGTAGTATGCTCTCCTAGATTCCTAAGTATCCTAGATTCATAAGGAATTTAGGCCTGTAATTGAGTTGCTGTTGAGCTATAGAAAATTCTATAAGAATCTTTTCTTAAATTGTGTACATTAAGCTATCAATTAAGCGCTGTTAAGTTTAAGTGCTGTTAAAAACTTTTAGGCCTAAACTGTTGTTCAAGTCTGGGGCTAAGTTTGACAAGGAGATAAAACTACTCTGAACCTTGTGACTCAGTGGGAATGTCTCCCTTATTCCTTTTTATCCTTAGCCTTTCTCATCCTTACCCTTCTTCCGTGTAGAAAATTTTTGGTTGATTTTAGTTTTAGATTGATTGATTTTAGATTTCAGTACAATTTTTCTCTGTGTGCTTTAACCATGTAGTAAGTAGAAGAGTAAACATTGCCAACGAACTTTGTCGTGCTTTCGCTTTTATATTAAACCTGCTTTTCCCAATACCTTTGCCACTGATTCTCTGAGTATCCTGAAACACTCATTCACAACAGCAGGTAAAAATGTACTGCTACAATTTGAGGGGAAAAAAAAAAGGAAAAGGAGCATAAAGTATGTTGTCCATAGTTAAGATAGGAAGTGTGTAAGAAAGCCAGGGACAGGGCAGCAGGAGTCCAGCCTCCAGAGAGAAAAGTTGTGTTACAATGCCAACAGCCAAAATCTGCGGGGTGACATGGAGGACATGGCTTGTCCTTCCTCCCAGCAGACCAAAGGTCACATTTATTGCTTCTGACAATGGAGCTATTGTTGGAGCTCCATGTTCTTGCTACTGCTTGAAGCTCCTAATATGTAAACAACTTTGATTCCCCCAGATGGATGCAGAAAGTGTTGCACAGTCGATCTACTTCATGTCCCTCTGTAATTTCAGCCCATTCCCTTAGCACATCTTCCAAGGGCTGCTACCATGCACTGACAACTCATTTCAAGGACAGACAAGAACTTAACAGACTATTTTCTTGGAAACATTTGATAAAACATCCTGAGGGATGAGCTCATTGGTAGCACCAGGCAGGCCATGCAGGCCCCAGACTGGGGACTGAACAGGCAGAGATGTTCTCTTCCACTCACATTAGCCTAATTTAAGTGTGGCTGAAAATTAAATGCTCACCTGGCTTCAGCTTTGCAGTTCTTCAGTTATTGTTAATAGCTAGATGTAGGACAGTGGTGCTGCCTATATCTTGACAAACACAGGGAAACTTTTTCCATCACGGTAAAGCCAGTTGGTAAGTTTGTTCTGCCTATCCACTAAAGGCATGTGGGCCCTGCAGGGCAGAGCAGTGGCATGAAGGGCACGAAGATGAAAACAGGAGAAATCACGGTGGCACAGGTCACAACAGCCATCACCTGAGTTACAGATCTTCATTTTTTCGTACCCTTGCTGTGTGCTGTAGGAAGGGAAGCCCCTGCCCTTCATGTACTTCCAATTTCTCTTTTCCCTTTCCTACTCCCTTCTCCCCAGTCCTCTGTAGAGTGTAAGCTGACATACTCAATTTACAATAAAATAATTATTTTTCACATATTAGAAAAAGAGCTGAAAATACAGTTTACAAAATGTCCTGTCCAGATTCACCACAAAGTCCCTGCTCTGGCCTATTAATTTTAAAGCCACTTGACCACATACGTAATTTGAAGATTTGAACAATGCTGTTTGCATTAAGCATAAAATGGAAAATTAACTGCAGTCTGAAGTTAGTACCATCAGTGCTCCATAACATTTCATATGATGCTCTTAAAACCTGTGAAGGTTGGCTACTTTTCTAGTAAAATTCTGATAATAGTGATTCAAGATGTTAAGGCTGTTACTGTTGATAAACTGGATCTCTTCTTCTGTGTAAGTAAATTAGTATTGGTAGCTTTCTTGTTCTGAAAGAAGTAAAACTACATCAAAATTCAGAAAACACCCCCCTCTTCCCAGCTGAGCTGTCTTGTTTGGAAACCGTCTGGGTGGCAATCCTCCACTAGTGTGGATTTAGAAGAATGGAGTGTGGTCAGGTCTCTGGAGAACCTATTTAGTTCATCTGCCTTTGTGCATGTGCTGAGAAGCCAGCAGTGCAGGTAAGTATGTAATTATGGGCTTATTTAAAATGGAGATTCTTTTACATGACAGATTGCAGCGTGTGCAGGAGGAATAATGCCCACAGAAAATAGAACACCTCCGCCAGGGCTCTTGTACTCTGTTGTGCTATAGCCTATTTACAGCTTTGGCTTTAGAGATGATCCGTGGTTTGCCTTACCCGGACACAGGTCTGTGTGCGGGCTGCACACGCATGGGGCCTCCTCCCTCCTGCGGATTGCAGTGGGGACCCGCCTGTCAGGCAGGCACCTGGGAATGCTCAGCAGCAACAGTTGCACTGGTATTGAGCCCTGCTCAAACCGCAGGATAAACAGAGGATTATAGCAAACACCAGGGCCACAAATCCCATACAGCTTTTTCAGGGCTTCTCCCATTACTCTTGCTTGCCAAATACCACATAGCAGTTATTTTACTGTGTCTAACGGCTGCACTTGATTTAATGTGCTATTATAAATGTTACCTAAAATGCTTTAAAATCACCCATCTATTTTCCGCTGGCCTGTCTTCAGATAGTACTTTGTTTGCAAAGGGCAAGGCAGCCAACTTCTTTGCTAAATTCTGTTGCACTGCTGTACTACCAAAGGACAGCCAGGACACAGGACCTTTCCTGCATGGAGAAGCCCCTGCTGCCCCTGAAAACTGACAGGTTTGGGGCATTTATTTCAGAGTGGTGAAAACCAATCCACGTTTGGTATATAAAATTTATTTAAAAAGAAAATATAACTGAGGCCCCAGCGGGGCGGGCCTGGGCCCACTCCCCAACTTTCTCCCCCCCGCTCCTCCGGCTGGCGCGGCTTTCCGGCCGGGAGCTTTTCGCGCCACAGGGCCAGGCCCTTGCAGCTCCACAAACCCCACACCGCGAATAGGAAAAAAAGAAATGGGCCTCTGCACTGGCCCCTCTGGGGACGTCCCGGGAGACCTGGAGAGCTCCTCAGCAAGGGTTGTGGGACGAGCGCGGGGCGATCACGCCGGGTGCCCGATCCCGGGGGGCTGACAGTTGTATCTGCCAGGACGCGGGCGGCAACGCGGGAAAGGCGCCGCCGGGCCCCGCCCCCCGCTGTCCCGGCCGCTTTGGCGCGAACCTTCAGTTCGCCGAGCTCGCCCCGCCGCCCGCATCGCCAGCATGGCTCCGCCGCGCCCGCAGGTCAGGCTGTCCGCCCGCATCGCCAGCATGGCTCCGCCGCGCCCGCAGGTCAGGCTGTCCGCCCGCATCGCCAGCATGGCTCCGCCGCGCCCGCAGGTCAGGCTGTCCGCCCGCATCGCCAGCATGGCTCCGCCGCGCCCGCAGGTCAGGCTGTCCCCCCGCATCGCCAGCATGGCTCCGCCGCGCCCGCAGGTGAGGCTGCCCGCCCGCATCGCCGCACGGCCGCGGGTCGCTGCTGCTGCTGCGGGAAGAGGGAAGGCTGTGGCGCTTGCAGCCGCGCTTTCCCGGGACTCTGCGGAGTATTGCGAACTGGCGCAGGCCGGGTACGCCGCGCTGCGGGAGGCGGGTGGGGTTGGCCGGGGAAGCTGTTTGGGCTGGGAGGCTCTTTAGGCTGGGCACCCCGGAGAGAGCGGCGTGGGGACAGCCCCTCCACGCGGGCCGGTAGGCTCGGGCACCCTGCCCCGCCGGGGTGCTGGAGCTCCCCGTGCCCCGCGCATGGCGGTTCCCCTGCGCGTCTGACTGGGGTAGAGGACGCGCCGTAGGAGCTCCGCTCGGAGCGGGGCGGGCGGCCCGGCACCATGTGGCCAATGCCTCCCTGGCACCTGCCCGCCGCCCCAGGGCCGAGGGCGCGGGGTTGGCCGTAGGACGGTGATGGCTGTAGGACGGTGATGGCTGTAGGACGGGGGGGTCCTTGGTCGGGGGCACGGCCCCGCGCGGCAGAGGCAGAGGGCGGCCCGGCCACACGTGTGTGGGGCGGCACCATCTTAGCGGGAGGCGGGAAAAGCTGCCCGCGGACTGGCGGGCGTGAGGGGCCGCGCCTGAGGGGACGGGCGTGTCTATCCGGTGGCCACCCCGGGCCGGCTGGGCTGGGCCGGGCTGGGCCGTGCCCGAGGCCCTTCGGTGCCGGTCGGCCCGCCGCGGGGGTCTCCCCGGCTGGGCGCTCCCTCGGCCGTGGCTGGAGACACCGGGAGCGGCCTCTTTTGTGTGTGGGGCCGGGCCGGCCGCCGTGCTGTGCCTCGCCAGCGCTGGCGAAACAGCCGAAAATCCGAGAGCAGAGCGGTGCTGTGAGAGGTCGGAGAGTTCTGAGTTGCCCTGGGTGGTTACTGTTTAAGCCCTGTTTATACAGAGTTTGGCCCTTTCGGTGGGCCCGTGAAGCGGTAGCGCTTGTGGGTGCTGCCGCCTTGGCCTTCGGGTCGATGCCACCCTCGGGAAGTAAAATGGGTCATTGCCAGGAGAAACATTCCCTGGGAAAGGAAAAACTGAAGCCTATCAAAAAAGGTCGTTCAAACCGATGGTGTGCCACCGATGGTGGCAAAACGAACAAAACAGCAAGCTGCTGTGTCTAGAATAGTTGTTTCAAATCTCTCGTGGGTATGATCCTATGGCCCTTCCTAAACAGCTGCAGTGTTATCTAGTGTTTGCCTCAAACTGAAAGGAATAAATCAAAGCAGATCTCTGGGCACTGTTCATGTATTGCACTTTTTTCTGTCACTGTCTATGAAGACTGGGATAGAACAAGATTTGTGTGTATATTTCCACTTGTGTGTTTGCACAAAAGAAGTGTTCTTAAATCCTGAACAAAACTCATCTGTAACAATGGTCAGAACTGTATCAGAGTAAAAACCCATTCCCGTTTCTAACTTTGGGATTTATTTCAAAGCTAATGTTAGTTATGCTGACTTGCATTCAAGATTGTTAAACATCCTAAAATGTTCAAACCATCTAAACTTCAATAGAAGGATATGCTTAAAAGCTAGTATGCTACAGTAGGTCTGTTCTTAATGGTATTGCCGTTGTCATTTTTCAGCGCCGAGGTCGTTCAGGAAAGAACTTCACAGCCTTCCGAAATACAAAACTGATTCCCATGGAAACATCCTCGTCCTCTGATGACAGTTGTGACAGTTTTGGTTCTGATAATTTTGCAAACACAGTAAGTACAGTACAAGAACAAATAAAACTCTATGTGCAGTACTAGTAAAGCTTGAAAAAATGTAAATCTGGTAAAACTAGTAAATGTTTGGTGCACGATTAAAACTACTTGCTCTGCTTTTTTTTTTTTCTTGTAGTAGTTACAAATCTGTGCTATATGCTGTAATTTCATTTCACTCTTCACTTGTGCTTCTAGGTGGTAATTGTTGGAAACAGATTAGCTATTATTTCTAGCCTTCGAAATGTCACCTGACCTGCCTAGTAATTTGTAATTTTACTTCTGAAACTCCTTGTTAAATGCCTTAACTAATTTTTTTCCTTATTAAAGTAAATGTAAATTATTTTCTGTATAACTTCAGTTAAAGGATATTTTATTCTTCGTAGAAACGCAAATTTAGGTCGGATATTGGGAAAGAACTGGCAAAAATGTTTCATGAAGCCTCTGATGATGAATCTTCCTGTGGCTTTTCAGGAAATGAGGTTCAAGATGCATTGGTAAGACAGCTGATTTTAGTTTGTAATTTTTCCCTTTAATTCTTACACATTCTTAATTGAAAAAACAGTGTCAGCTTCAGCTTGTCTCAAATGTTTAAGAAAAGAAGTATTACTGCATTTTGTACACAGTGTAAGGAACCAAAGTTAAATTTTCTTGTCTCCATAAAAAGCACTCAATATTCTGAGCTCTACAAGTTCAGAATAAAATCTGCCATATATATTTTGAAATATAGCTCTTAAACTGTCCTTGCTGGATGTTCCTCTGTTGGACCCTAACATTTCTGGTTTCCTCAATATGAAATGTTGAGCTAGCCCATGGATTCCAGCAAACCTGAGAAAAATCTCTGTGTATTTTAATATGCAGTCAGACCTGCTCTCCAGCAGCATAACATGAAATGCAGTGTGCCTTTAACAGTAGAGAAATAGTGATAGGTGGTGAAATCTGCCTTCCTGCTTTTCCTTGACATCAGTGCAAGATCAGTTTTATTGCTTGAAATCACCAACAGTTGGTGTTGAGAAAACAGAAGTAGTACTATGGTTGGCAAAAAACAGGTTTGTCATAACTTCAGAACACACTGAGGAATGACTAGAAAAGAAAAATGTCTGCCTTTAAAGGCAGTTCTCTTTCCCACACCACACGAACTATCTTTGCTATTAGACCTGCAAGTGACAGCTAAGTCTGCTGCAACTGAAACCACTCTCCATTTTTGGATGTGTTGCGGTAGTACCATGTGGCTCTCCCTGAGGGGTTTTTATCCCTGTCCTCCCCTCTTCTCTTGCCCCCTCCTCCTAAAATATACTAGAGCACTAGGACTGGATGTCTAAATTTCAGCCAAATAGCCTCTTTTACCAGCCACAAACAAAATATTGTTGACTGTATTTGATTGCAGAGCAACTCCCTTGGACTTACATGCTTCCCTTCTGCTTTGTTAACAGAAACTGGAATCGGATTCAGAGGAGAATGATACAAGTGCAGAAAGTGAGGTAGCTCAGAGAGGGCAGAAATGCTCTATTCCTCTAAAAGTAGCCATAAGGTTTCCACTTCGAAGATCGGAGAGGAGGAAGGGTGAGACAGAACCTGTTCCTGAAACACCAATGCCTGATTCGGATTCAGACTCTGACGCTGAAGACAAGGGGGCCATGTTTTTAGAAAAAAGAGCTTTAAACATAAAGGAAAACAAAGCAATGGCAAGTATTCAGTGTCTCCCCGGGGACTCTCCCTTCTTCCCCTCTCCCTCTTGACTCTGGGGGGACCTCTTTGTTTAAATAAACTGTAATGGGAATTTATGTGAATGCATTAAAAGGAATTTGCATTCCTAATATATACTTCTGATACTCTATATCCACTGGCATGTGAAAATGCATAGGCTGCAAGCCTAGCAGCATGGTAAGTTTGAGCATTTCCAAATTACTTGCAGTCACTAGAACATAAATAAGACATAAAAGTAAAGAGTAGAAGAGTGACTGCATTTCCTTTAATTAATTGTACTTCTAGCCAATTGCCCTAATAGTCTGTAATAGCACATAAACACCCTTTTAAGGTTCTGCTTAATTTTTCTTTCTCTTGTTAGCTTGCAAAACTAATGGCTGAGTTGCAAAATGTTTCTGATATCTTTGGTGGGAGAAAATCATTGCCAGCTGTCAGTCATGTGAGTATAAACTTACTGTATTTGTCTTCAGGTTTCCAGGAGTCAAATTCTGACTCTCAATTAAAAAACTTAACAAACTCTTCAAATTAAAGTCCAGCAGAATTTCATTGCTTCCTAAAAGAGGTATCCTCATTGTGTAATTTTCTTTTGATTTGCCACTGTATAAAGCAGAACAGATTAATTCATAAAGGTAAAGTGTCTCCACAGGCCAGTAAAACTAAACAAGGTGCTATGTAAATACGTATTTTTACAAAGGCTGGAGATAAGGGGGTCAGCTCAGACTTTGAAGCTCAGGCCTGAATATTCTGTGAGTCTGGAGACTTGAAAAACACCTGGCATTTAGACTAATCCTTAAGAAGGTTGGGTTGTGAATCAGTAGTGTAGTGAATTTCACTGCTGGTTTATCTATAAGGTGGGTGAAGATAAAAACAACACTAAAAATCGTAACTTCTCATAGACAGGGGTTCTGCTGATGCATGGGGGAATTATTGTGTCTTACACCTGCATAGACACAAACTTGCTTTTGACTGTTTCTCTGTGATTAGCAGAATACCTGAGATGAATTTGCCTAGGATGTTTTTACCTTGTGTTTTCTGACAGGGACAGGGATAGACATGTCTTTGGGAAAGACAGAAGAAAAGCATCTTTTGGGGAGGAATTCAGCAGGGGCTGGAGCTGTCTGGGTTTCTGCCTGTTTCATTAGGGGCTTTTAAATTTAGCAGGGACCAAAGCGACTTCCAAGGCGTTCATCGCCCAGATGTGCTTTGAGGAGGAACCCAGACCGGAGTTCTCGGCCTCACACAAGGTCCAGGTCCTTGATTGAAGGTCCTCCTACTCTTTTACCAGAAGAGGAGGAAGATGACCGGTACATCTTGGTGAGAAGAAGAAAGATACCTGATGAATACCTGGAGGTATGATGAGGGTCTAATTCCCCTGTTGTGGGTTGTGAAGGTGTTTTTTTATTCCTTCAAGACAATAGCAATTCATACAGAGTTGATGAGGTTTATCAGTATGCCACAGTCTTGGAAGAAGTACAGAAAATAACATATTGTACATGTTCTCCATTTTCTGTCCCTTATCCTTGGAAAATGACTTCCTCTTGCACTCTAGCAGGAATTATGCAAGATAGTAGCATATCTGCACCTTGAAGGTGACAAATCAAGTGAATGTGCTAAAGCTGCATTCATACCATATGTCTGTGCAAACTTCTGGTATTTCTTGTTTAATATATAGTGGGTGTTTGAGGCTTTGGCATTGCTGTGAAAATCCTTACCTTTGTAGAGTTTTTGCTGAAACTAATACTTGTGTCTTTGCTAATCAGCATGAAGCCCGATCTCCCAGGAGAGGTCACCGTGGTGCCATGGCTTTTCCACACATTGTGCGCCCAGTTGAGGACATAACAGAGGAAGAGCTCAATAATATTTGTGGATCTGCAAGAGAAAAAGTATATAACAGGGCCATGGTAAGTATATTCCAGCTTTGTGAAATGTGTACTTTGTGAAGTTATTTTCTTGTTATTCCTTGCTTGTGTTTTAGCATCAAATAGAGCAGACTCTCTCTCACTGAGAGGAAGGATGTGATGTTTGGGAGAAAGATCTCAAAGTGTCCTTTCTTATTTTTGCCTGAATTTGTAGAATGGCCTTTACCAAGCCAATTAGCATGCTTTCCCTCTGTAACACTATCAGCTTTTCACTCTGAAGTCTATCACCTAAGTGATACCAGCCACAGAAAGCGATTAACAGACACTGAAGATGTTGTGTTAAAACAGTCTTGTTTCAAACTTGCAAGGTGGCTTTCTGTTGTTGGACAAGCACTGCTAACTGCCAAAGAGATTTTGTTAAATGCTTCATTCCCCTAACTAAAATGCCATCTTTAATGTCTTGTTTCTTTTTCCTGGGTTCTAGGGATCCACCTGTCATCAGTGTCGCCAAAAAACCACGGACACCAAGACAAACTGCCGTAACCCCGACTGCGTGGGAGTACGGGGCCAGTTCTGCGGGCCCTGCCTCCGCAACAGATACGGGGAGAGTGTCAGAACAGCCCTGCTGGATCCGGTAGGACAGTGCTGAATGTTGGCTTTGTTGTGCTTAGCTTGAGCAGCCAGGTGAATTGGTTACTCACAGTAAGAGTTTTAATAGGAGAACTGCTTACAGTGCTGTAGTACATAACGCAGGCCTAGTGTGATTCAACTTGAGTTGCAGAACTTTGTGGTGTGTAGAACTTTCTGTATTTACTACTTCTGTAGCTTTATTTGCAGGATTAAAGTATGAGAGCAGAGCAGTGGCCAACATATTCTTGTATTTGAGCATCAAAATAGTGTCATCTTTTGCCTTGCATTAGTGCTTAATACCCTATGGAAAGGTTCTGTGTTGTGTACTCTTATGGGTTGTGGTGTAGGAGTTAAACAGAGTGGAATGCTTCCTGTGGTTATGTGCAAGGCAGTCAAAGGAGAGTTTAATCCCCTACAGACTGGAGAATTTGTACTCTTGCACTGGTTTAGACAACTTCTGCAGCGCGATGTTTCCTGCAGAACTCAGTGTGGAGCAGAGCATTCTTCTTAGTTGCAGGTGTGAATTGTATCTGGCATTGCAGTTCACTTAAAAAGGCTTGTCTGTCTTTTGTCTAGACATGGAGGTGCCCACCATGTCGTGGAATCTGCAACTGTAGCTTCTGCAGACAAAGAGATGGCCGATGTGCAACAGGTGTCCTGGTTTATCTGGCCAAGTACCATGGCTTTGACAATGTCCATGCCTATTTAAAAAGGTAAGGATACCATTGTGTCAGTGACTTGGTTGCTTTAAGTGGGATAAGCATCTCAGAAGTGGGAGAGTAGAGCTGTCCACATCCTAGTTCATCAGGTAAATCTCAAGATCAGTCAGTTGGCTTCAAAATCTGAGATTTTGACATGTGCTTTTTCTGATACACTGGTTCTTACTGAAAACAACTGGTATATCCACTCTGTCTTTTGGCTCTCAACTTCAGTGTGTTTAGTGTCAGGGCTTCCAGTAATTGAACTAAACAGTTTTCAGTCTTTTGCTACAAGCTAACTCATATTTCTACTTGTCTTTCAGTCTGAAACAAGAACTTGGAATGGAAGATTGAAGCCATGACTGCCTCTAAATTTCATACTCTTTCACCAATGTCATATTATTGCCTACAGTGAATTGTTTAATCAAATGAGATTACAAAGTGCCTTCCTTCCCTCCCCTTTTGGGTAAAAAAAGGATAAAAACTTTCATTTATTTCAGCATAAATCATACTTAAGAAAACTGTTTAATGAAAGTCTTCACCCACAGGCCATTGTTTTCTCTTTAAACAACTTTGCAATAGAGGTAGTATCAGTATCAGTCCTTCCTTTCATGATAGTAACTTTTTTCCTGAAAGGAGATGGGTCTTTAAGCCATTAGTTTCACTCATGCAACAATCTGTGCTGCAGGCTTACTTATGCTTTGAAATTGGTCCCAAAAGGGTAGAGATGTTCTGAAAACTCAGGGCACTTTTCTCCACAGAACCAAGCAACCAACTTCTGCAATACAGGCACTTACTGGACATTAATGATCAATTAATTTAGAATTCTCTAAAACAACAGCATGTTCTTAAGTTCAAAAGGAAAATCCTAAAAGCTGCAGCCAAGTGGTCTCCAAGCACTAATTTTTTGGTTTTACAGAGTACTAAAAGTGCACATTGGCCATTTCAAGGCAGATTCTCTGAGTCACTTAAAAATGCAGCAGAAGCAGTTTGAGGTGGCACTTTGTATTTTTTGTTTAGATGAGAGAAGGCCACTGCTGAAAGCTTCTACAGCACTAGCATTGCCTGTTGGTGACAATGATGTGAACGTACTGGTATACATTACAGAGTGACCACTGTCTGAAACAGAATGTACCCTTTGTTAAATTGCTGTTTTGGTTGAGTCTTCTCCTTGCTCTTGCTACAACTGCAGAACTGCTTTGCAGAATCAGCAATGGTCCTGGGAAGGAGGGATGCCTCCAGACCAGGGCTTGGCTGAGTAGAGGGGTAGTGGTTCATGTGGCTATTGGCCAGCTACAAGTGGCTGAAAGGTGGTAACTTGTTCAATTTGTCAGGAAAAGCAGCAATGCATGTTTCTGTCTCCATGTGATTGTGGAAGGCTATTTCACATGATATTTATGAAACAAGTACAGCAGAAACGGAGCTGAAGAATTCCAATATGCTGTGTGCATGGTGTCTCCTGGACGCTGCTGTAGAAAAGAAGGCGCCACGAAAATTGCATCCAGAGAACCACAAAGTGTAAATGTGCTTAGTTTGGTTATGGAAACTACTGTGTAAGCTTTGTGTAAGGTTCAGAATGCAGTGTTACAAATAATGTACAGTTGAATAGTAGAAGAATCAACATGGGTTTAGACTTTTCTGCTTATGGAGTACTTGCTCTGTGTGTATACATAATGATCCACAGTTTATACCTTTCTGAGAGTTGCATAAGTGTGTGTGGGAGGGGAAGAGAGAGGAATTTAGAAACAAAGGATATTTATGTCTCAGTCTTGCAGTTACGTTTCATAAATCATTTCTCCTATTGAAAATCTCCTGTCCTCTCTTGATGTGTTTTTATAGTGTGAATAGCTCTGCAATCTGAGCTGGAGAGTGCTCTTCCCTCTAGGTGCATTTTGTGAAGAAGGAGCTCATTTTAGAAATACATGTTCTGACCGATAAAAGTTTTTTGGTTTTTGGTGGTTTTTTTGTTTCCTCCTAATTGCTTGGCTTTCCTTCTGATTGCTAGAGTGTGAAAGTACTGTGCTAAAAGCAAACCCTTGTGCCATATTGCAGAGACTGCTGTATTTAGATTTACTCAGATCTACAATGTTCTGTACAACATTTTTTATTTTGAGAATAAAAATTTTCAGGTTTAGAATTTTTTTGCCTCTGAACTGTTCTTAAAAAGCCTGTTAGACCTGCACTTACATTTTACCACCTTTCAGGTAAACTTATTTTGGGAAATAAAGGAGTTGGTTTCTTCCATCGTGCCTGGGGGAGCAGTGGAACTTGGACATCTTATTCTCCCCAGCCCTGTGTCCCTGAACCAGGCTTGCTCTTATATTTATGCTGCTTGGATTGAATTGCTTGGTACCTGGTGAATAACTTGTGATGGTTGAAATACAGTCTTTCTTCAGCCGAGATACAGACTTTAGGCAGGTGAGCTATGTGCTTATCCTTCTGGTTTCTTTCTTTTAAACTAGTGTCTACATCCTGAGCTGACCAGGATGAAAATAAAATTTTGGACACAAGTTCAAGTCAGGTGCCTGCTGTTTAATTATTTGTTTTCCCCTAAACAATCTCGGGAGCTCTTTTCTGGAGCAGAGAATAACCTGAAGGGCCTTGATTGCAGGCCGATAGTGAAGACTGGTTTTTAATACTTGTGCTGCTTTTGCGTTGGCATAACTGGATCTAAAGACAGGAGTTACATGAGTCTGAGGATGAAGATTACATAAAGCTGGCCTGTAGTGAGGGCAAATGAGGAAGAAGTGATCAAGCAGTGTGACTGAGCTATCCCAGGTACTCTACTGGTAAAATCCTCATGTTACTCACCTAAAAGATGTGTTTAGATGCCTTTCATCACACTGCTGGTGATGTGAGAATAAATTCATATGTAGTTGTGTAGGACATTAGTATATGTTTTATGTAATGACTGGGGTGTCTCAATACACCTCTTTCCCAAAGTCCCTCTACCACAGCTATTTAGGTGCTGTTAACTTGAAAAATAGTTGAAGAACTCGTGGTTGATAACTGCAGTGAATGGACAGCAATTTAAGAAACTGTGAGGAAAAGATCCTGACAGCTTTAAAAAAAGATACAAGGAAATTAATTGAAGCTCATGTATGAGGTACAGTGACTGCTAATTTATTACTGAAAAAGGCTGCATAACCTGACGTTCCCTCACTACTATCAGCTTTAGAGCCAGGTAATCTTGTGCCTAGGTCTGATGAAACCACTTTTTTTTTTTTTAATGGTATAATAAATGAATATATAGTATATACTGATTAAATCAGCCATAACCACCTTATTATCAGAAGATTTTCTTAGAATGATATATAGTAATGTGTGTAATTTGCTTCTTCCCTGTTTCACTTGCTTTTTAATTAAGCCAAATGTTGAAGCATTAGATCTCTTCAAATGCTGAGAAAAGGATTTTTGTCTTCCTTGCCAATTAAGCAAACTTTTTCGTTATATGTAAGTTACAAAACCAGAATGGCAGTGTTACTTCACAGGCTGAAGTAGCATGCACTAAACATTCCAGAGCAACACACTCAGCTGCTTAACCAGCTATATTAGTGTAGGGAACTGCAATGGAAATCTTTTAAAAAATAGGCATTAGCTTTGGAAACTATTCCTCTTCCTTCCTAGCCTCGTGGGCTGATAGACCTTGATTTTGTCTGCCAGCAACCTAAAAATGTATTTTGAAGAGAAAAGCACAGAGATGGTAACGTACCAAAGCATCATCATTTGCTTGGGTAGGCTAAAGGGGCGAAAAAGGGCAAAATGGAGGCATCTAGTTAAAGAGTGGCATCCACTTAAAGAATGGCCTCCCATGTTCCAGGGTGAGGGAACATAGCTGACTTTGAAACCATCTGTGCTACACTGTGCATCTGAAACATTCAGCAAGAGAGTCACCCACTGACCTCTGCTGGCATAATCCAGTTTGTTCTTTTACACCTTTTTGTGAGTGCAGCTCTTGCATGGCTAATGGCGTGAGCAAATATGGAGATTTTGGAAACATTGCCTGCTGTTCTTTCATGTTCTTGTCCCCTAAAGCATCTTAAAGTGAGTAAAAAGATAAAATGTTCCCTGTCGAGTATAGGCTGGCCAGCCTGTGAGTGCTAAACACCGGCACCCAGTTAATGCTGAGCTTTGTCTTAGATGTGTATGAATGTATGGGCTCCAAACACTGAAGAGAGGACAGCACCACCCTTTTATGCTTGGGTCCCACTCTTCTTCCAAGTGATAAGTCTGGGGCTCCTAACCCCACAAACACTTTGGGAGTGGCAAACAGTAGAGGAATTGTATGTTTGAACTCAAAAATGTAATGATGTGTACTAGCGGTAGGAGTCCTGAAAATGGGAGATGAGATGGGAACTAGGAATCCTACTGTGACTGATACTTATAAGAAGTTGTGGATATTGAATTTGTAAGAAAATATGTCTAGAGCATAGAGCTACAGTCATATTAAATCAGATCTACTTTTTGCTGTTTGGTACAGGCTTCCTTCCAGGTAGAATTGATCGAGCTCTGATTGTAAGGATGGCAGACAATTCTGTTACATGAAAAAAATAAACCAGAAGTCATGGTATGATCGGGATGGGGTAAGAAAGCATTGTCTCTGTCTGTCTATTAGTAGTACTTTCGTAGTGTTTGTACTCTTCACTTGAACTAGGAAAAGAAGTCAGCTAGACAGTAGATCCAGCTGTGTTGAGATGTCCTGATACAGTCTTTCCACTGGAGTATGTCTAAAGGTAAAACTTATATCTACTCCTGAAAGCAGATACAAAATGCTACTGAAACCAGAGATTTTTGTTTGGGTTCCATTTAGTTTTACATCCTGTCCTGCCAATATCCTTGCAGGCAGGGAGAATGAAATTATGTGAATTATGTGCTAGGTTGTGTCAAGAGGTTTAAGTAACAGAAGCCTATGGCAAGCATTGCTGTTTTCTTTTAGACACATATACAGTAAGAAAGCAACTATCAGCACTCATTTTGGCCTTGCTTTACCTCCTTTTGTCTGAATGCCCATGTAAAAGTGGTTTGTGAATTGCTACATAAACTTCACAATTGAGTGACTAGGGCTGGGTTGAGAGGTCTCCCACAAATAAAAATTGTTATGCATGTTTTCAGAGAATTAGCAGTTATGTCTCCTCCCTGGATATCCAAACAAGTTCCTGTTTGAAAAGAAAACTACTGGAAAGACTATACTGAAAATTTAAACATTTTAAACTTCAGAGATATTTAGATGTTTTGTATTTTATTATATAGCTGAAGTAAAACAAGTTCAGTTGGTGTCTACCATTTTGTTTAATGCCTTGGAGATTCACCATCTTTAGATATGCTCTAAAGTTCCACATCTAGAGGCTTAGCAATGTTCCTACTCAAATGTGAATGAACATAGGCACTCTTATCTTACATGATTCTTTTCTTACATAGCTTATTAGCAGAATTTAGCAGTAGGAGAGATCCTATTTCTTAGTGCTTTTGTGCTATGGGGATTTTTTTTGTTGTTGTTGAGGGGGTTGGTTTTGGTTTTGGGTATTTCTTTTTGAGGCTGGTTGTAATGTGAATACAAGTGATAACAGTGAATCATCAGGAAAAAAAAACCTTTGGAAATAAGCCAGAGTCAAATTCTTTTCTCGTGCTCTGTTCAATCTGCTTCCTCTTTAAAAGAAAACTTTCACATTAGCAGAAAAATAAATGCTTAGCCAGAGTTCTTTTTGTGTCTCTTTCAGCAGGGAGAAGGGAATGAGTGTGCCGAGCTCAATGCCCATGCTGGCTTCCTCCTGCCGTGGAGAGTTAACACTCTAAAAGCTTTTTCTTCCCCCTTTATTTCTCTTTCCATTTAATTCTTATGAAAAAGTTGTGATGTTACAAATTTAGTATTGGAAACCAAGCACAGAGTTTTGTTGTGAGGAACTGAAATGCTTTGATATAACCCTAGGTTTTTTTCTGCGTGAAGTAACTTCTAGTTTTTAAATGGTTGGTGTAGCTAGAAAACAGCACCTGTACTACAAAGCTCTGAAGAGCACCTCCAGCAAATAAAAATATACAGTATACACGATATCTATGTGCCCGTTACAGAATACAGATACAGTGTTCTGTCAAAGCCTGCTGGTATGATCTTGAACAAGTCACTTTTCCTGTAGCTGCAAGACCAAAACCCCATTCACTCACATAGATAAATTTGGCTTTAGAAAAAATTAACACTTGAATGTTCTTAACGTAATTACAATTAATTTGCATCAAGACATGCAGACTTGCCCACAGCAAAGAATAATGCCTTTTTTTCTTTTTTTTTTTCTAGGTAGCTACTAGGCACAGACTGGAAATACACACCCTTTCTTCTTGCAAGGAGAATTAGTTTATTTTTTAGACCCACTATTAAGTATATTATGTACTATAGTTGATGCAAGGGAGTTGAGAGTATTGCAGTCTGTTAGTTACAGTTTCTTGTAATTCTCACCTGGTTTTCCTGTTTCCAAAATCTCATGTCTAGCATTTGATTTTTTTTTTTTCCAGTTCTGAAGAAAAGTTATGGCTGAGATGAACAGTTTGGCTGATATCAGGCTTAACTAACTCCCTAATTAAGCCTGACTGCTGAAATATAGCTTCTGTTTTCCCCTGTACAGATGTCACATTATACTTTTAACATATTGGGATCCACGAGGAAATGGGATTCCTGCCATCTGTAAGAGTTCCCTGCTATCTGGTGATACAGCCAGCCTCGCTGGGTTCCTTTGCACCTCCCAGTATGCCACAGCTTGCTGTACAATATGCAAGACAATGTGGATTTTATAAAAGGGAGTCTCAGAAGTCCCTATGATAAATGGATTAGTTTATACAAAATACTCAACTCTTCCCCACAGTTAAAAACACCTCAGCCTCTTTCTGCCTCAATTTCTGAGCAATGATTTCTTGGTGTTTGCATGGCGCCTAAACCATGTGGACTTTATCCCTCAGTCATTGGAGAGAAGAGAGGTACTAAAAGTGGCAGACCAGGGAACGGTTGCTGCTGCTTTTACCTGTAGTAGTACTGAGCTTTGCAGTGCTGTGGTTAGTGTGTTTCCGGGAAATGGAGCACCAAAAATGCAAAAAGGGGAGAGAAACTATCTTGTAGTTTCTTTTTGTGTGAAGATCATTCAGCAAGTGCCACCAAATCCCACCACTAGTGAGAAAAGGGAGGGTATGCTTCGTTCGACAGCCCATCTGGAAACAGGTATTTTTCATCCAGTGTTGGTGAGACTGAGGTTCCTCCACATCTGTCACAACAGAAAGCTGGATATAAAGAGACCTTATGAGAGCAAATGTTACGTGTCATGAAACAGAGAAGTTATTAGGTGAAGCAAAAACTAAGGTGGATCTAAGTCTTGAGGTCCTATGTAGAGTTAATTGCCTACAGTTTACTTGGGGATAATGTGTAAGGGGAATTGTTGCATGGGGCTGTTCTGATGTCATACAGTTACAGGATGGTAACTGCACTGTGCTCGTTCCAGTGAAATCTGGTAAAGGCCAGATCCCAGTTTAGTCACAGCAAGGAGACCGAGTGGGAGATTGAGCCAACATTCTCAAGACTCCCCAGGTTTTCTTAAACTAAAGAATCAAGGGGAAGAATACAGATCGTTCAAAAATGTCAATTAAATAAGAAAAAAATCCTTTCAGGTATATGAATTGCCCCTAGTGACTCTAGGTTTACCAACACCCCTTTTTCTTTTGCCCTAAATGAAAGTCTTGCTTAACCAAAAAAACTGATGTCACAGGCCAGCAGTGATATTCGCTGATATAGATAAATTTACTTTAAAATTATTTAAGTAGTGCTTGAGCTAGGGAATTGGATTTATTTAATATAGTACCATATAACCAGAGGTGCAGAAAACATTCTTAGATGACAGAAATGTAAAGGGTTTTCTCCTGGTGCTGAGCTCCTCTGATGAATTTCCTAAGACATTGCCAATGCATGCCTTTTGTTACAGTTCAAAGAGGTTTGTATGCTAAAGTCTGCAATTGCTGAAAGAGGTGTAAATTATGCTGGAAAGTAAATATCACTTGCAGCCTCAGCTCGAACTATAGGTTCATGTTATTGCATATTTATTTATTTTTCTTAAATCTGTAAGAAGAATATTTAATCTGATCAATTGCTCTAAAAGCAAATGAAGCATAAGGCATGATTATTTGTTCATGTGTTAGTTCTCTGAGATAAAATGCTTTGTTGTATCCTGCTAATACATCCTAAATTTAGCCTTACAAGTCAGAGACTCCAGGCTAAAGCAGGCTGCTTTCTTGAGGGCTAGGAGAGACATTCATATTAGAGCACTCCTTCTTAACCTCCAGACAGACCCTTTGTCTTTATTAATGTGAATTATTTTACTTTTTACAGCAGATATCCCAAATTCTGTTTTGCTATCTACTCCATGGCAATTGAGGCTTCAGAGGGTTGGCTATTTATTACTTAATAGCCATGGATAGAAATACAGTAAATTCTTTACAAAATAAAAATCAATACTCACTGACATACTGCATATTGAAGAAAATAATTGTTTATGGCACACAGCTTAAGCTGTTCTGGTAATCACGTTGAAAAATACAATATTTATTCATTAGATCAAATTTAATGAGGCCTCCTGGCAGTAATTATAAAAATTACTGTAGCAGTAAATTACTAATGAGTTGTGATGTGCTTCCTACCTGTGAGGAAGGACTGGGGGTTGAAAAAATTGATATCCAGACAACACTAGGGAGGGTGAGATCTTGAGGCTAGGAGTCAAGCTCAGAGCAGTGCAGAAGTTGTTCACTGCACCGGAATGGTTAAACTTAAAAAAAAAGAGGAAAAAATAGCAGAGAGACTCATAATCAGGAAATTCACTTTAAATAGAGGGTAATTTTAGGTTTGTTTCCAAACAAACACCTATAGTCAAGGGAACAATGTTATCAATGGCAGAGAGAGATTTCTGTACATCATCTTGCTACAAAAGCAGCTGAGGTGACCTAATTTACTGTAGGAGATCTTAGGCTGGAAACAGCTCCTTGCTTGTTGTAATAAAGTTTCGTGCAAAACACAGCAAAGAGGACAATGTTTTCTTAGTGCCCTTAAATCTACAGAACAGTCATCTAAGACGCAGAGCTAAGACAAAGGTTGAAATCCCCCACCAGCTTGCTTTGATGCAAGGGGGGTTTGACCTGGATTTCTTTCTTCTGAGACAAAGCTTTAAGGAATGCAGAGGCTTTTGGTAGCAAATGGTACGCAGTATGAATAACAGCAAGGCATAAAGGTGTAAAAATTGTGCCACTTCTATCAAAGTCCACATTTCTGCTGAGTACAGGGTGTTGCTGCAGTAGGAGAGGCTGGCTAGAGAAAGGGGTTCTGCTGCATGCCAAAATTAATGCAAAAGTGCATTGGCATGTAGTGATGTTTTTATCTGTAGCTTGTAGAGGTGCCATGGATTTGACAGGTGGCCTTTGGTATTGCAAAACAGCGACTAGGCTAGCTTTTAGTAAGTATTTGCTGCAAAAGATTGATTCGGGGGTTCAAACACCACCCAAAATCAAATAGAAAAAGGCTGTGAATTTTTATCTCTCACAGCACAGAACTCCTAAATATACTCTTGGGGCTTGAAAAGGAGTGGGAAAATCTAGCATGATTTATCTCCTCCTTATGCTGGTATGTTGTACTAAAAGGAACCATAGGGCAGGAATACTTTCAGACACTCATACATATTGTGAAGTCAAAAGGGAGAGAAGAGTGTCCACTCACCCTGGAGTCATCTTCCAAAACCCTTGAAAGAAGCAGAAATGCAGGTCCCCTGCACACAGTCTGCTTCTGTGCAGAGATGCTGGCTTTTGTGGAGCTATGGGAAGCGGAAAGAACCCCTAAGAGTCAAGCCTTACGGTACTGAGCCTGAGAGCCTTTACGGCTTTAGCTCCATATCTAAATAAATGCATGCATTGAAAATACATACAAAGCCTCGGGCAAGCTCATCAGTGAACAGCAACAGGTCAGCATACAGCAGGACTATTTTTGCAGTTTCCATAGTTTCAAGAAAAGGTTACCTCTTTGTTACCCCCTTTAAAAAGGAGTGGTTTGCAGTGGTTTTACTAATTCACATTATCTGTCTTCTTGTAATTGAAATAAGGCAAGAAGAGCTTTTGCTGTGATGCAATTACAAAAACATCTCTCAACCACCCAGAAATTAAACTTATTTAACTTAATTGCCACAAAATCCACAGACCTGCTCTGTCTTTACTGTTATGTCACACTGCAGAGAAAAACCATCTGGTTTTGGCTGTGAAGATGGTATCTCGGCTGCTCGAGTGCTTCTTTTCCTAGCGCTGCCATGCGTTTCCTCAGTGACCTCAGGAAATTCAGTCTTCCCCTGTTTCTCTTTTTAAAGCATGGAAATCCTCTCCAGGCTTTCCCCTGCAGTCTGGTCCTGTCTGAAAAAGAAAATAAAGTGTGTTTTTTTATTATTAGCTGAACTGAATTTGGCAATGGACAGATGTTCACTTTGCATACAGCTGTGCTGGCTGAAGATACATTTTTCTGTCTTTCTGGAGGCTAAATTAACACTGATAGAAAATTCTGCGGTCTTCAGAGAAAACACTTTAGAAATAGGAATTATTGTGGGTTGGATTTTCAGAATTGCTGTCAGCCACAGCTGAAATCAGTGGAAGCTGTGAGCTGAAAAAACTGAAACCCTGAACTACAGTAGTTTACATGAATGTAGAAGTTGTTAGTGGCTGGCACAGGATTTTGGATCAATCTACATTAAAAGCTCTCAGGTAAATACAAAAAGTAGATGTGGTAAAATGCTCCTATTTGGTTTTGCACTTTGGTTGTTTGGTGACCTGTTTTGGGTTTGTTTTTTTTTTAACTGCAGAATTCAGGTCTGAGAGGGCTACAAGCTTTCACCACAGGCTGTCTGATTACTGTCTCATGATGCAAAAGACATTTTCAGTTAGTATTGTGAATTCTTAGGGAATCTTGCAGTGGCAAAATGGGAGCAATTTACCCAGTGTTTCTTCTTCTACACCTATGACATTAATTTAGTGTGTGTGGAGGGGGATACTGTGAAACAACCCAAAAACTAAAAAATGATGATGAAGCTTTTAAGAGAGACTGTCTCACAATCTGACATAAGTAGTAAGATTGTTGCTGTGCACTATTGCTATAATTAAATTATATTATGCTATTGTATTAAACTAATCCATCAGTAATACTGTACTTAGCAGTAAGATTTTGTCACATAAACATTATGAGCCTTTAAACTTCTGCATTTTGTCTTGCAAAATCCAGGGAAAATACAGAAATTGGAGGAGCAGAATATAACATGAAAAGCTATAGCTGTGGAAAAAGGCCAGCTGGTTCAACATGCCAGTCCTTTTAAAGCAGGTAAGTAGAGTGTTAGAATACATTTAGCAAGGGTGGAACATGAGATGCATGCATGAGGAGCCTGCTATTACTTTGAAAATGTTAGATACCGATCTAAAAATTCTCTTTTTAGCATTTTCCCAAACTTCAGAACACATAAGGTTAAATCAGAAGCTGCTGAGAGTAAACTGTTAAGAAAAACATGCAAATAATAACTGAAATGAAGCTGCAATCTTTTATCTAAACAGAGGCAGAAAAAGAAGGGGGCTACAGATCACTTAGACTATGATCAGTGTAACAGGGCAGCTGATCAGAGGAATGCAGTCTTTAGAACAATGTTAGCTTTTGCAGAACCAGGAAGCAGAATAATATTTTTTAAACTGAAGACTTCATTCCCATCGTAACAGATCAAACCATCATTCAGACCAGCAGATCCTGTCCTCTCTCAGCCTGGTAAGCTGCTGTACATTTATTCTGGTGCTAGATCTTTTCCAAATGAGTTACTGGTGCTTTCATCCACATCCTGTTGACAGCTATCCCTTTCTCACCTTTGCAAAATACAAACTGTGTTAATTGTTCCTTTTTGTTACCATGAACAATTACTTGGATTTTAGCAAAAATTATCACAGAAAATGACAAGCAGATTTCTGTCCCTTTGCTTACCTCTCCCATAGATAGCATGCAAACACACTCTGTAAACTTGCTGTATGCCAAACTGCTGTAACTGGGACTACAGCATTTGCTTTCCTTCCTAAATTTGCCTCTGCCTTTAAGTGTTCACTGAACCATCTTAGTCTGCAGTCCTTGTGATCTAATTGTGTCCGCAACATGCCGGGATGGACATGCTAATCATAAAGGGTTCAGATGTATACAGGGGACCTCTTCCAGCTCCTGGGGGTAGGAACAGGATGAAAACATTATGAGACTTTATTAAGTCTTACAAGACTTATAAGACACCCCTTGCCTCTGGCAGCCTCAGGGGTGGGAATTAGCCTTTACAGGGAGGTTATCACCTGTAATACATATTTATGCTGTGTCCATCGTGTATAAGAATGCTCTCAGTAAAACTTAGGCTAGGCTGTAATAATACTTTGCACTTCTTTGTTGCCTTTCATCTGAGCATTTCATTGTGCCTTTAAAAGCTTTCATTAGCTAAAATTCACAACCCCGTTGTGCAGTAACTGTGCATTAACACCTCCACCATATGCAAAATACAGTTCAGAGAAGCAAGGACTGGTGTAAGTGGTTTAAAAAGCTGGAAAGAATGGGGGGGTGGGGAGGAATTGAATTGATTATCCCCACATCTATGTGCTAGCCCTGTGTTTTCTATCTAAAATATCTTAGGCTTGGATTGATGTTCTGGCTGCATTCTGCTACATTTTTAAATGCTGATGTGTGTCAAATTTAGCATTGTTTCGAAATTCTGAAGACGTTCATTTGCAGGTTCATTTATTATCTGCTGGAAATCTGCCCTTTATAACTGGATGCAGATATAACCATGAGAGTGATATAATTGCCTGTGGATCTAGGTATGTATTTTCAGTATTGTTAAGCTACAGGGTCTAGTTTCCCCAGGATATGTATGACTCTTGTGAATACCAGTTACATTCATGAGAACAGAATATGCCCCTAAAGCTACAATGTCCTTCGTGCATAGCCTCCAATCCTCTACAAAGCTTACATTTCACAGGATTCAACATTATTGGTTCTTTTGGGATCAATGAGAAACTCACCACCCATCTCCAGTATCTCTGAATTACAGAGCAGAACCAGATCAAACACAGAAGAGTTCCCTCATTTATCCTGCCTCTGTAATACATCAGAGTGTGTGCTGCATTCATTTTGTGTAGGCGGGCTGGTGTCTAATGTACTCTGTGAACATATTTATAAAGGATTAACCTGTGCCTGGTGTTCCTAAAAACTGATTTAGTTAAAATACATATTTTATTCTACTTGTCTCAACCATACAAATCGTTCCTGTTTAGCTTTGATATTAGTCATTTTTGCTGTAGTGTAACACTATCAGTAGTCCTGCTATGTATGACAGGCTTTTTTTCCCCAGCCAATACTTCTTAGTGCATTGTATCGTCTGCGTCTGAGAATTTTAACCTGCAGTGAAAGTGTTCACGAATAGAATGTGTACTGCTTAGCAAATGCTGGAACACTGAGGGTTTGAAAAGGGTGTTCTTGCTTTCAAATTGTTTAGAAGCAAACTGGGTGTAGAAGGTCAGGAACCACAGGTGCTGTGAAGGACCTGGATGCACTTTGTACCTGGAACGCTGTGTGTGAGCTCACACACACTGACCTGGCATCTGCCACACTAGGAAGGATCCAGTAAAGTGAAGCTCCTAGACTGCAAACAACTGCAGCCCACCCCTCACACCTGCTCCAAGTTAAGTATGTATGTTTAAAAATATTTACTTTGATACAGGCAATATTTAGATATTCATTTTGTGTAGGGGAAGGATTAAAAGGAAATACAAATGAATAGCTTGACAGTAGGGAATTCTGACCCTCATCTGCAATATGTGACGATAGCTCCAAAATGTTAAGGGCAATTTGAGGAGCTGCCAACTAGGAACTTGGGATAAAAATAAGAAGGGCAGACTTCTGATGAAGGATTAGCGGTAATTTATTAGAGTAATCAAGCACAGGGAAAATGACCAGAGTAAACACTGGAAAACTTGTTATTTCACAGGTTTGACAGCCAGAATTAAGATTTCTTCTCATCTTGATCTTCAACCTGAAATTCAGGGCTTGGTTTGGTTTTGGTGTTTTGTATTGTGAATTTTTTTAGTTTGTATCAGCCTGTACTGGGATAGTAACTGTGTGAAAAAGGTTATAGAGTTTTCAGTATCTTCTGATGGAAAGGAATAGTGGTAGTTGATTAAATTTTTGCTGCTTATCTGGTTGCCATTGAATTCAAGGAGTTCAGCCCACTCTAAATTCTGTTCTTGATACCATGTAGATACACTTGTATGTCAGATGTTATTCGTTGTACCATTAATCCATCTTATCCGGATATAAGAAAACACAAAAATCAGTGGGTGTAGCGGGGGAGGAAGATTCTTCTCAGCAGCCCATCAGGCAGTTTTTCTAGTTCATTTTCTTCCCTATTGTTTGAAAGGAGCCTGCAAATGTTTCTTTTTCTTGCCAAGACAGTGTGATACTTTTGCCCTGGCACACATTATTGTGTTTTTTTCCTCTTCTTGTGTTTTGAGTGCAGCTGAACAACAAATTCCTCTCTGTTTAACAAGCAACTTCCTCATATTAAAAGTTTTTTCCATACTGAAGTATCTTTTTTTTTATTTCAGCACAGCTCTGCATTTGTATTTGTTAATTAAATACTGACAAGTGAATAACAGCAAGTGCAGCAATATTGTGTGCCTGTGGGCTTTCAGATCAGCCCCTCTGGAACCTGTCTGTGTGTCTCAAGGAGCCACAGCAGCAGCTGTGCTTTGAGAGTCAGCAAGTAAGACAGCAAGTCAGTATTCAGGAAACAGTAGTGGCTCCCTCAAAAGAAATCTAATCTCTTTTCTGCTATTCCCTGTGCATAAGATTTAACAGTGCTCTCAGAAATTTCATGCAAGTTACACCCATTTCCCTGAAACCTAGATAATTTTAAGTTTTACAGCAGCAAAATAATTTGCTGCCTGTTTTCTCACCAATGCAAGAGGCTTCCTTGAAGTGGAAGTTGGCTCATCGGAGGCCATAGGAGGACATGGATAGATGGATGGATGGATGTGTGTGTACGTGCATCTGGAGTTCTTTTGTTCTCTCCCTGTTAGCTTTGACTGTTAAAACAGCCATTTCAGTAATTTCTTGGCTGGCTTTGCAGGGAAAAAAATCTTGGTCTTTGCTGCTCCTGGAAGAGAGGTTGTCATAATGTTGCTCCCCCACTTGACTGACAGACACCTTTGCGAACACACAGCATGTTTCATCTCAAAGCACTCGATGAATATCCTTAACCCCCCCCTCTGGACCAGCCCACCTCTACTTGCAATGCTCCTTGTCTTTTCTCACAGGATTGCAATCCCTGCCTTTTGTTCCTCCTTCTCAGGAGTTAATACCTCCCCACCTTACAAGTCAGCAGCAGATTCTGTCAGTTTAAAACCCCAAATAACAAACACTCCTACCCTGAAGGCCTTTTCCTTTCAAGCATGTATTTTTCTAGCCTGCAAGGCAGTCAGTGCCATAACCCTGAGTTTTCAGGGAATAGTTTCTAAGCCTGTATCTGTCTATCATGAATATCTTCCAAAGAGGGAATGAACATCCCCTCTTCTGGCAGCTCCTACATTTTGTGGCTTCCTGCCCCCCTTTCCCGCCACCCTCCACTCCTTATAAGCCCCTGCACTTCATCCTGTCTACATGTAATGTCTCCTTTCAAATCCTCATTTACTGCTGCTGTCACCTCAGCCCGCTCCAGCCCTTGCCTGTCAATGCAGTCACAGCCCAGAACCCAAACATTTTTGCCTCTGTTAAGGCATCCCATTGTTGGTCGTTTGCGGATTTCCAGAAAGTTGGATGACCCTTGACACAAGTTTCTAATGTTTCTCTTCCATCCACACTCTATTTCCCTATCTGTTGGATTTTTCTTTGAATTTCTGTGGCCTGAAAAACAAAGCATCAACTTGTTTTTTTACTTTTACCCGATTTAATGTTGGTGGCATCCCATTCCCACCTTTCTCGCTGAGGTCTGGTTTTTTGGAGTTTTTTGGGGGAGTATTTGGTATTGCTTCTTGCTTCCTAACAAGCTGCTGTTAAGAAATGCTAGACATATCTGACTTGGGGATAGTTGACTGTCTCTAAACCAGAGACAGGAGACTGCTGGCTCAGGGGCAAGAGGCGACTCCTTCACAGAAACATGAAACACTAGGTGACATATAGGGTGAGTTTAAAAAGGGAAGCATTAACAGAATTCATGTTCATTTCAGAGACACAGAAAAGAATCCCAAAGATAAACTGAAGATCTGAGATTATTAGGTGATCTGACATAATCTCTGTCATTTAATCACTTGTGTTTGCTGTTTATGACACATTTGCTGAGCCCAAGATGCTTAAACTGTGCACGTATTCGGATTTTTTCCCTTTACCTCCTCACCCTGCCCCACCTTACTTTGAAATGGCAACTGCTTAGAAATCAAAGGGTTTTTTCTGATGTCTCAGATGGTGGCTTGTCAGGTAGGTATATGAGACAGAGGGGTTTAAAAACAAGGAGGATAGAACTATCATGATGACTGAGGCCTTCTCGTGCTTTGCAGTGCGCATAATAGAGTGGTTTAGAGAGGATGTTCTTCCCCGAAGGAAGCCCATGGCTCCTGCTACAGGCAACACTTACTGTGGGGTTTTAGACAAGGCAGTGATTCAAGTTTTGTTTTCCTTCTGGTTTTTTGTGGGTTTTTTTCATCTCCCCAAACCCAAGGGACTGATGGCCAGGCAAAGCTGACCACTAG